GGAAAAAAGGATCTTTTCTAAGGTAGTTTGAGTAATTCAGTTCTGGGGCTCTGCCCAGAACACTGGATTTCTACACACTAGCAGTGAAAAAATGTAACAGCAGAGGGGAGAAATAGCTTCTGCTTTGATATGAAAGATTAAGAGAATACATAAATACTGTGAATACTAGGGAGGCTGATGATAAGTTTTTTTTTTTCATGAGAATCGGTTGTACAGTGAAGAGCACAACTCCATAGAGCATTGAGAGGTAAATTAAAATTTTGACTCAGCATTGATTCACAGGTGATGAGGCTAATTTCTGATCAGAAGAGCATTATTTATCGTCGAATTTGAAAGCGTACGACGAGAAACACGCTTCATCGAAGGATTATTGATGCACCCTTTAGAGAAGGGTAGAAAATGAGGACTCTCCTAATCTTCATGTACCGTGGCAATAGCAGTGTGGTTCTTATGCGTTTGATGTCACTTCTATTTCGGGGATTACATGTGCAAAATTAGGAATTCCATGGTAAAAACGCACACCCGCTTAGTTTGCTCGTTCATAATTGAAACGCTACAGGACAGTTACGTAAACTTGAACGTACTCATAGCCGTTTAAATATTATTAAAATTTATATAATGACTGTCTACAATTGATCACAGCTATTTTAGTTGAATCGCACCCAAATTTTTTACGAATTGGGAATACTTTTTAACAGGATATGCGCCCAATTCCACAATCTTTTTCTTGTGTTTGGAACCCTGTAAATGCCTCTTTTATGCTTAAGTCTTAAAATTATTTGCTATCTTGTTTTTACCTTTACTCCACAATTATGCTGAATATAGAGGTAAGCTTCAAGATAGTCGTCTCCGTATCCATCATCAACATCAGCGCTATACATCCTTGAATTCAAAGTCCCGATCCCAAGTGGAGCCATTCTTTGATGCTCTGCTAATATATCATCGGCACTAAACGTGTCTCTCTAAACGAAAAAAGCGTTCCATGTTGCAAATTAGAATCGATGCTTTGATCATACCTCCATCAACCA